CAACTGCTTCCCCTAGACCGAGTGGCTGACTCGCTTCGTGTGAGGTGTGTGGCCAGGGTAGGAAGTTCCGAAGCTAGCACCAGTTAGAACAAACAGGGGAAATTCGAAACGGTGTGGGGGTTTGGTGAAACATTTGTGAACATGATTTCCTCCATCATGCTGCTTTCCACCATTCTCCGTTGGGCCTCCAGCTTACGTAGATCCGACGCTGGGACTCATCACCGGTAAGGTAGGCGATGGGCACCAAATGGAGGGGAGGACGGGTGGAGAAGTGTTCAAGCGGAGATGAGAAGGAAACATCTTAAGAGATCTACAGTGAAAGGACGGTGTTTGTGATATGTTTGCTTGATTTGTTTCACAAGTGTCACATTCTATCTAAGGCAGTAAGAATATGACAAATTCTCGTGCGCCGCTGGTGGGTCAGGATGGCTCACATGGCGTGAAAGTCTGTCAGGTTCTCTCTCAAACATTTGAGACGTCCGATTGTTTTGCATTTGCTTTGTAGTTTCTATACAGTAACCTGTGCGTCAAAGCTCTCAAGACCTTGCCCTCACATCTCACATGAAAGTCTGGCTCAGTGTACCTCCAATCATCTCCGATCCACATACTAAGACGATCTAAAACCTTGAGTGGCGTAGCTTTCAGCGTATAATACTTCAGGCAGACAACAGTTTATGCTGCTTGTTAATCATGTTCAAAAAACGCTGTATGGTCAGCTGCGGATCGAATTACCGAGTCCAAGGGACGGTCAATTATCACACCGTTTTAAATTTATATGAATAAACGGCTTTCCGGTGTGAAAAATGACCGCCCACACGGCCCAGGTATCTCAATGTAGGATTCTAGGCGGTAAGGGTTGACATGAGTGTGTGTCTCAAGAAGCGCAACTTTTGTCTGGCCAGTGTATAGTCTAATGGTGACCATATTCTTCTTTCTCTCAGAATGGACTCTTCTCGCGCTTTTCAAAGGGACAGAAGGACACGTCGTGTTACTGCCAGAGGCCATACATTCTTTTGAAGACAATTTTGGATGAATTTTGGATGAATTAATTCAACATTTGGTAGCTGTTGGTTTCATGCATGGTTCTCTTTCCGCATTGGGATGGCGAGTGGATTCTCGGTGTGACTGAAATCACACCACATCAAAGATGGATTTGGATGGTTTTGTCTTCCGGGGTCCCAAAATACCTATCCATCGTATCACTCCCATCGATCCCCCCATTCACCTCTACGCATGACAGACCGCACTTCTCATGTGAGGACTTGTCATCACCTTGCTTGGCGCCTTGATGCTGAGGCGCGGCGCTTGCAATTCTCATATGCTTCGGAGTGGAAAGTTTTTGACAGAAAAGGGAACAGTGCCCATCGATGTTTTCGTGCGACTGCATACATCCAAGAATCCGTGTGAATATGAGTACGTTCATGTGTTCGCAATGTCCGAGATACTGATTCCTGAAGAAATATCGACGTCTTCCCGAAGGATGTTCCGTTCTTCAGAAACATCTCGAGAAAGCTCAGAATCATGGTAAGCGCGGTAAGTGTGCTCATGGAATTCCTGGCTTTGTGGTTTTCCACCCCATCGGCATCTCCATGAACAAACATGCTGTGCCGGGAAAAAAAAACACAAACAGTACTATATATAATATATATTGGATTATATTAGTATCATTCAAGTAACCTGCGGCTTACCATCCTATACCCTCAAACAGGAGCCAACAAAAGCCGCGTTCCGAAGCATTTTTCTACACCTTCGATCCCCCCCGTTCTACGGGTGACGTCAGCTTTTTTGGGCGCCCCGTTCTACCGACGCGGCCGGGTCGCGTCGCTGACCAGTCGGGAGGAGGTGGAGACCATATAGGAGACCAGGAACAGCCGACACATCGGACAGAATGTCCACGATTTCCTGTCCGGGATGTATGTTCTGTTTGTAAGCTGGGGCGACAATTGTTGCCAGGCCGCATGACTCACCGGCCGTGTCACCGACCCTCACCTTCGCGACTGCAGAGGCCGTGTCGATGGAAATCCGAGGGGATGGGCTTGGGCTACAACGGATCCGCTGTGGTTAAAACCTGATGTTCTTAGCAGGCTCGAAGTAAACACCGAAGCGCTACCTGGTTCGAAGTAGAATTCCCAACAGATTGTGGACATACTGTAATTTTTGGTGTTCTACAAAGAATGTAATTTGGGGATATTCGGGGCACTGGTAAGTTTGGATTTTGGACAAGCATGTTCGGTGGTTGTCCATCTCCTACCTGATTCTGCCTCCGTTTCGGTGCTTGGGGTGGGTATTGATGGGCGGGTCAACCACCTTAATGTGGTTAAATATGCCCTATATACATGGAGTGTTTGGTGTTAAAAATTCTGTACCTGATTTGTTTTCAACCGCAAGTGTCATGGAGGGTCAGGGTCGATGACCAAGTGTTCCGTAGACAGGGTCGCCCTATAGTACGGTCAGTGGTACTACTGTAATAGCGATGGCCTCCAAACTAGCAGAAACTCCTGGTTACACCGGCAACTGAGCAGAAACTCTGGATCAGTTGCTTTTCTTCAAGATATCCAGAAGCTGTCTTGGTAGAGGGGACAAACACTCAACTGCAGCCGCACTAGTTGGACGACCCATTTCAGGGTCGATTCTGGCTGTGCAGATCTTCTGCAGATTTCAAAGGGTGCTTGTGGGCAGTGGCAGTAAATGATATTACTCTTTGTCCATCAAACATGCAGGGAGTTCGCAATCTCAGCTTAGCTGTGCCGATTGACGGCATGTTTCAGTGAATCCGGCCAAATCTCAACACCCGACGGCAAGGTAGACAGAGGCGTTTTCGCCACGTTATCGCCACCCCAACTCGCGAGTTTGGAGACGGTTCTCGACCCAGTTCTCGGTCAGGGGTTCAATCAGTCCACCCGATCCATTTCAGTTTGTTTGGATTCCCGCTTGGGTGTGACCCTGGTTTTCTTGGGCTGTACGTTTCGGAAGACGGGAGGACAGTCGCTTCTCCCATCCGAGGTGGTGCCGAATCGGTCTAACCGTAAAGCCAGTCCCCCTCGAATTGGGCCGCAGAAGTGGCTCAGATGTATCAAGATCATAGGTGAGTTGCTTGTGAGAGCTGGATTGGAGGGAATCTTGGCCATGTTCCTTGGAATTGAATAAAGTCGGTGTTGTCAAGTTCCATTTCCCCATAGGTGTATCCAAGCGAAGATTATTCCAAGAAGAGGTGGCCGAAGCTTGCGCATTATGCGGAGCTGTGCTTCATTTGGGATTCATCGCTCGCATAATTTGATCACGTCACTGCTGCAAATGCATGTTGCCAAGAAGGAACCCTGCTACAATAACGATATTGAGATATATTGAGCAATTCTATGCGTTTTTTCATCCTCTTTCAAGGTTTTGCAATGGGAAAATCCAACGTATATATCACCAGGTTTGGGTATGCGGTATTATGTTGTCCACTTGCTTTGGGATTTCTTAGTACATTGACCTGTTATCCTTGTTTCATTTAGGGGACCCGCTAGTGAAGATTTTGCAAACTGCAGGGAATCGTCTGCAATCTGTGGGATAGGGGCTCCTGGCCTCGCTACTAGGAGCAGGGACGCTACTATTTTCTTGTTCCTGCACTTTTGGTTTAAGAATAAGCCATTGGAGACCCTCTTTAAAAGAAGAGTCGCGATGGCCACTGGCCCTTATCTCCCTTTAAAGGGGGAACAGGTTTCTATTTAACAGTCAAACTCTCGCCAAGCTGGCCTGTAGTACAGTTGCTCTTTTTTTTAAAATCCAAGTTTTTGAGCCACGGCCTATCAATTCAAGGCTATCGCAGCAAGAGCTGGACTGTTTACTGAACCTGCTGAAAGAGGCCAACAAGCCCTTTGAGGTGCACGTCTTCGGCGGCCGGACGACGTGAAGTGATTGGGGCCTGGTGATCAGCTCGGGCTGGGCTTGGATTGGTACATTCAACATGGAGTGGTTGCGTGTTTCTTTTTGTAGTTCATACAGTATTTCACCTTGTTTTTGTGAGAAAGTAATGAGCACATGATAGCACATGTGCGTCCACTTTAGATATGGTCCTCTAGATTTCTCTCATCTGCTCCGAGAGCTTGCGAACTGGTGCTTTGACTCCTATACCCGGGAGCCCCAATTGACGAAACTCGATTCAGCTTCCTGGCCAGAGATGTCTGACCTGACATTCGAGGAAAGTTGCCGCCTCCTGTGAATGGTACTTGGAGTAGGTGAACACTGCCTTGTGAGGACGTAGTTTGGTTTTTCTCAACAAACTTCCACTGAGCTTTAGACCCCCGGGCATGTATGTGTTCTGCGCTGTGGCATGAACACCTGAATGCAGGCCATTGCCACGACGTTCTACAAGAATTTCAGCAAGCAGGAGCAGTTCAAAGCCGGCTGCGTCGCTTGGCTCGCTGTGGCATGCGAGGGCACAGGCTGTGTGGCCTTTCATGTAGCCTTTGCAGCCGTGCTTTTCTGGAGCAACGTGCGTCTCAGTGCGAGGGTCGGAAAAGTCAAAGAACACTTAATCTCCTAACCCATGTCCAGACACTATGGCATATACGCCTACATTGGGGTGGTTTCAGGGTGGGCGCTCTACATGGAGTGCTTGGGTAACGGTGTCATCAGGTTACCCTGACTGATGAGACCATGTCACCTTTAAACTGGGCTCAGTTTCGTGTTCTGAACTACTAGGGGTTGTTGGACTTTAAAACCGTTTTTGATCCCTTCTATAGTTGCCCAAATAGGAGGATTGTACCGATAAAAAGGGTTTACGGTTGACCGTTTGAGGCCTCTTGACGTGACCATGTTGGCCCAAGGGTCGTTTGCAAGGAAACCTTTCGAGGACGGTTTCGCACGATGGATATTCAAATTGATTACACATGTATAAGTCTACGAATGTCTACAGGCATGCAGCGCCTTCCCAGATCCAAGGAGGGATGTTGCAAGCTGACCACCCAACCTGCCCAATACTGGAAGGGCCTTCGTGCAACTCCAAGGTCATTTGCATGCTCATCCAAGACAACCTCCTGACACAGACTCAGCGGCTGGTGGGATTCTATCTTCTGTATGACATTTACAGGCGTGGAGGGTTTGGGCGGGGGTCGGTCACAAGTTTTTCTAAGAGCACATTGAATTGCTGTGGTTGAGCCTTTCGAAGACTTTGGCAGGAATGACTCCCTGCCAACGACGCCCTTCGTGCCCTTAGTCGTGGAGGTGGTCGAGCAGACCAACGATGTGGTTGAACGAAAGTTTCTGCTGCAGTGTCTCCACAGAAGTTGATGGAAAGCTATATTAGTAACAAGTGCATCGCTAGTAGTAACAAGTGCCTTATTAGGAGTAACAAAAAGCTATTAGAAGTTGATGGAAAAAGGGTCGCCTCGCCTAGATTTGCTGGGGCGGCTTCGCCCGCTCGCGGCAGTGAGAGGACAACAGTCTTTGTACTGCTCACTTGGGGAAGCCAAGCGGAAGAGACCGGAAAACCGTCATTACTTCGCTTGCTATTTATATAAAGGATCCTGAACCCCATTTCCTCTATAGAATGGGGGGGTCAAAGGTTTGTTATGAAACGTTTTATGGTCACCGCTGGGGGACGTAGGGGTGTCAATTGCATGCTTTCTTGAGATGTTTTGGGGCTGTTTTGTATGCATGTTTCCAAGCTCAGCACCACCCCATTTTATAGAACATGCATTTACGTGGGGGCTTACCAAAGTATACCCCTGAGAACGTCAGTTTGACCAAATGATATTTATAAAATGGCCTGCGTTCGTCCCCGGGTTGGAGAAAAAAGGGGTCGGAGGCTGGAGGGGTTGTTTGAACTAGTCTTCAACTCCCTAATGGGATTCACCCAATGAGGAGACGAGGAGCGTTTCGGATGCGAGGAGCGTGAGACCCAATGGGTGCCGCTTCGGTCCCTCCCAACGGTCCAGCGCTACTCGCCCAGGTTTCTGTCGTCCTTGCCGAAGGAGCTGCCGAAGCAGAGTGTGCAGAGCTTCTTGCGACTGGACGGGAGAAACAGGAGGGGGAACGGACAAGAGGTGTGAGCTCGGAATTCCGTGGAGTTCGGACAGTCCAAGCAATGGCGACTTCCAGTTGGACTCCTGTTTTCTTTTTTTAGTTGTTGGATGCCGGCCCGCCGATCGCCACGATCGCGATCGCCTGCGCGCAGAGTCCGTGAGCGCCCCAATGCGAGCAGCGATGCGAGGCAGTCCTGCGATGCAGAGCACCCGGCCATCCCTGACCTGGACGCCTTTCGGCGGATGCACCAGGAGCGGGTCTCGGCAACGCGGTCGTCTTCGTCGGTGGGTCCAGGCAGGTCGGTCCAGGCGGTGCTGGAGTGTTCTGGTGGTCCATCGGAGGGCAGGAAGGTGCTTTCGGAGGTTGGAAGGTTCCATCGATGCTGGGTATGTTCAACGAATGATCGAAGAACACTTGTCGACTCCAGCAGAAGCCGGTGAAGTTCGCCGAGACTCTTGGACACTGGTGGATTGAATTTTCACTTGTCGATGTTTCTCTTTCCTTTTTCATGGGCGATTTGAAGGTCAGCTCCTGGGAGCTGTGCCTTCAGGACAGGCCACTTGGGTAGTACACATGTAGTATGGGAAGCGGCGCCAGACACAGCCCTCGAACTCGAGACACCCACTGGAAGAGCCTTGGAACATCTTGGAACCCGACGCCAGGAGAGTGCCCCCGGCGTGAGCGCGCAAGCCGCGCTGGGCGTTCGGCCGGTGATCAACGATCGGTCGCAGGGCGAGGATCCGGCGATCTGGGCGAAGCGGTCGCGGCGCGGGGCGGGCCTTGGGAGGTCGGGAGGTCGGACGAAGAGAGCTGTCTGTCGTCTCCTTGGCCCGCGAGGGGATACCCAGGGTCACCAATGACCTGGCGAAACAAACATAGTTTCACAGTTGGATTGACTGGTTTGGCATCCATTGGACCATCCCTTGGATGGTCCAGGTAGATGTTCAAAGGCTGTACGAGAGCTGTGGAAAGGGATGGGTCGTCATTTGATGTTGCGGTTTCTAGCAGAAACCTCAGGCGGTTGAAAGAATCAAAGTTTTATGCTGAGATTCCATTCATCGGGTATGGCCGAAGTCCTTTCACCCTCAAAGTCCACACCCTCAGAGGGATCCAGAACAAGAAAACAAAACATGATATATATCCGTTTTCTCCAGTGATACCTTATAGATGAGGTGCCGTTCACGTTGAGCTTCCAGCGTCACTCGCCCGCTGGAGTCACTCAAGGTCCGATGAGGGCTTCTGGGTCTCCGAGGAGAATGACCCCACCGGCCTGGAGCTGAACCCCGAAGAGCTGACTCTGTGACCTGGAACCGACCAGTCAGAGCCGGAGATGTTCATCCGAATTCCGACGTCTCGACAGTTTCATACAGAGGGATGCAAGCCGGTCTTAGAAGTCCCAAAAACACCTACTATATAGATAGTGGGTCATAAACCCTATTCGGTTTGGAAGGTTCAAGCACCGGGGGGGGGGGGTTGGCTATTTTTGGAAATGGGGGAGTGGTACTCAACCAATCGAACAAACGTATTGATGGTGTCCTTGTTGCAGCTTGCAGAACCTTCTCTCAGAACCCATGGGCTTCGTGCTTAGGAGGGTGTGGACCTCCATCCGGGTCGCACATGCGGGCGTCGCATGTAGGCTTTCCATACACGGATTGTTGGGGTATGATGCCCCCCCAAATTCTTATAGGCTTGGATTTGATGTTTCAACGATGACCCAGGGGACTCCTAAGACTCACTATATAAGACTCACTATATAAATGGCCAGTGGACGAAACCTCCGAAAAAGAGCGGTGACACGAATGGCCAGCTGCCTGACCCGTCAGGGTCCACCCGTCAGGGTCCCTCCAGGTCCCGGAGCCCACCCTTCCGTCGGGTCCATGTGGACTGGATGTTTTCATGTGTTCTCCACCAAATTGGGAGGTACCTCAAAATGGTACATGGAGCATCATGGAGCCATGGTCTCCCACAAACTTCACCTCCTAACGGAAGGAACTCTTCATGGCCAGACTTCACCAGCCATCCCCAATCGAGCGAATCAACTCCTCTGCTTCAGCACCAAGGCTCTCCTTAGAACCCGCCTGGTCCCGGCCAGTGCCGCCGCTGTTGGAACCCACGGTGGATGAGGTCTTCTGGCTGACACCGCCCCACTTGCTCTCAGAGCCTTGGCAGTTTTTGCTGCGTTGATGTTTCTTTGCTCGGACTCGACTTCTCCGAGAAATAGAGGATAGAGAACTTACCCCAAAAGTGATCAATTAGATACGATACCAAGACCATCCGCCGTTGTTCTTTCATTTATACATTCAGGGAACCATTTCTCCAACAAAGCAATGGGACATCTGTTTTTTCCAGAGAACTTGTTCGTCAAGAACATCGACAGGATCCCTGTGGATCCATCCAGTGGTAAGCAGTAAGCACCATTGATGCTTTCGATCAACTGGAAAACCAAGTTGCATAACTAATGACCAGTTTGATGCCTGCACCAGGTGTCCACAACATCGTTTGTGGACCCGTCCAAGAAGTGGAGAATGGGCAGAAAAAAGAACCAGTGCCTTGGAATTCGATCAACTCTTCTCCGGTGAACGTCTGAGGAGCCCTTGTGGGACTATACCATGTGCCTTGGCTGCTAAGCACTCCTGGTCTGCCCCATGTGATGATCCATTGAGGAAACCCATGCCTCATGCGTTTACTGATATTTTGTGTAACATTTTTGTTGTCTATATTCTAGGCGTCACAGACCACGGATGAAAACAACATAAACACCCGCTGGTGCTTTGCTTTCGGACACCGGGTCCGACTTGCATGTAAGACTCCTATAGTATCGTACATTATGTTTAATCAGGTTTTTGGTCCGAAACCCAGACTCCCAGACTCAACCAGACACGGTCGACTTTCGTTTTTTTCGGAATCGTGCGTCGACGAGTTCGTGACGTCGTCTTGCCTGTCTCATGGGTGAGCTGGTGGTGTGGCCAGGACCATCCCCAAACCCCGATCGGCACCACCGGTCCCTCGCATCGTGGCGGTCGCCGAACCGAGGTGCGCGGACACCTCGCGGGGCGCGGAGGTGCGGGAACTCATTGCCAAGGCGGTCAAGACACCGCTGCCCTCGAACCAAGCGCAGGCCGCTGCCCTGGAAGATCATCAGTGAACCCGAGGTCGTAGCGGTTTTGGCACCCCTGAGCGGCCAGTGTTAGAAGATGTTAGAAGGTCAGAAGGCTTTAGAATGGTTTAGTTAAAACTGGGATGAGATGAGGGAGTTCACAGATGTTTTGAAGCTTCACCAAATGCATGCCAACTCTCGGATTGGTGATGAAGTGATGAAGTGTGTCATATATGACATGTGCCAGTCCAAAACCAATTTCCTTCTCACATGTTTCTCATTGTTCCATGGAAGAACTAAATAATTTGCTCATCGACGAGTGGTTTTCTTCACGGCTTGGCTCGGCGCAGGTCATTTTTGACGGCTTGGCGCAGGAGTCGGTGGGCGTTGCGCCTTTTTCATTTCAGGCTGTGAAGAAATGAGGCCTTCATGAGTTGGTCGGCTGGTTGGCTGGCTGGGCTGGGCTGGCTGGGTGTGTTGGTTGAGACCCAACCAAACTGCAGTTTTCGCAGTCTTTTGGTCACTTGACTTTCTGAATCTCTGCGACTTGGGAGTCCATTGGTGGGTTGTGGGCAACACTTTGGACTCATGACCTCTCCTTTTGGGCCACCATCGCCCGGTCCGCCCATGCCGCGGAGCCGCGGAGGACGCGAAGTTAGTGTATCACTGCGGCTTGACGCCCAAGAAGCTGCCGGAGCTGGTGGAACACAACCCGCAGATCGCCATCGAGGTCCTTTTGAGACTTGGAGGAAACTCTTCGTTCGAGACGCAGAGTCGAGCAAGCGGAAACCAGGCGGATTATTCCATTTAGAGGCGGGTCTCACAATGACGGGAGTTTTTTTTTGTTTTTGCAAACCTCAACAGGAAACCATAGTTAGACTTATTTGACCGGGAGTCACATGATGTCCCCCCCAGTGTGACCCATGCTGCACCTGCAGAACATTGGGAATCAACACTGGAAACTCTTTACTGTGGACTCAACCCTGACAAAAAGTTCTGGCCATACATGCGAAGGCTACCAGGTGAAGATCAAACACAGAGATCATCCACTGTGTTGTTTCTTATGTATGAGACAGGTTTCTGGGGTTGCCTCATCAAAACATAGTAACATAGATTTCACTGGTGTGACAGTGTGTGGATATGTGTGGATAGATGTCCTTATATTGTCTATTATATATACAGACATAAGTATTAAATATAGTCTTTAAATGTATTAATATATACATACACTTTTGTTTACTGTAATAACATATTACTATATATATATTTGTCAAACCAAGGCCCGTGATTGCAAACATTGGCACACACTATACTGTATTTAACTCAAAACAAAAACATATCTTTGGTGTGTGAATCACAATCCTGCTCTTGTATCAAGTCAGGTCGTCTGTGAGGCCGGTCTTTAAACAAACAACGAGCCGATTCGATCCTTCTTTTACTCATACCAAAGACTACAGACCAAGAACCACATATCCCTGCACCACAAGCAGACTCATCGGTCTTTAGCCCCCAGGTACGGCTGATTCATCATGATTCACCAACTTCCGGCGCCTCAGGAAGTTGATGGGTGGCTCGCAGATCTCGCACTACTTCACCGCGCTGGTGAACATGGCGGCCCGGTCGAGTTGTTTCCTCGGGTGAGCCGACCTGGAACGAAGTCTTCAGCACTTTAATCACAAAATGAGCTTTGGGTGTTCCTCATGGCTTTTCCTCATTCAACTGGAGCTTCTCTCATCAGTTCAGACGAATGAGATGTTACAGATGAATACAGGGATGAAGGAAATCCTTTAGGCTTCTGGCAACACTTCGCTTGGGACTGGCTCACAGCCCACTCAGGGCACAGCCGTCCCATGCCATGCATGTTTGGGTGTATCATGTTGCATATGATATATGATTTGCACATATGAGATGGCATCATATGGCATCGATCCGCCCAACGAGTGAGCTTGAGCTGCTGTCCCTCCCCAACCTTTTGTTTCTTTGAGGGGAGAGGTTGCGGACTCACGTTGGGACTCACATTATGTGGTTGGCAGACGACGAGGCGCAAACAGAGATCCAAACCTGCAAACAGATCCGCGAACAGCGAGCCCAGCATTGCTTCGAACCAGTCGCCGAAGCACTTGTCCACTTGTTTGCCGTAGATTGATGCAAATGGTTGGCCCAGAAGCTTTGAAACAACATCATCTTCCAACCATCTACAAGTATGAAGTATCTCCAATCTGTCCACCGAATGCATGTGTAGTTTCTCCATTACCGCCTCACATACGGCGAGAACGCTCATTTTCTCACATCTTCTCACCGAACTCGTTCTCTTCGAAGCGCCCAGGAGATGAGTTTGCACTCCATGGAGGCGCGGAGCCGGTCGGAGAAGTGCCAGAAATCGACGCGGGTCGACCGGTGCTGGTCATGCGATTTTAAAGCATCCGTGTTTGTAATAGCCTTTATCGAACCATGGGTTTTTGGTTGCAGGATTTTCCACTCCCAAACCAGGTCAATCGTTTGAAACCATGGGTCGTTCCCGGGTCGCGTTCGGTCGACGGGTTGGCACAGGTGGTGAATCGACTAACGACCTCCGTGGATTTGCCACCGGAGTTCGTGCATTTATACATCTCCAACTGCATCTCCTCGTGCGAGACACCAGCTCGAAACAAGCAGCTTTTGGGTCAGCTTTTGGGTCGGTGGGGGTGGCGGAAGCAGTGAGGGTCGGTGGGTGGAAGAGGATTGTGTATATACACCCGGGAAGAGACAAAACACATGGCACCTGACAATGGACCTTTGGTAGACTAATGTAGACTATTTTCCTTTGCATGTCAACCTTCCAGGGCGTATACATATATTATATATATAAAACTAATATTGATATACAGACATATTAATATACACCAACAGTTACAAAGTGGTGCCTATTGGAGTATATTGTGTGCCCATTTTCATTCACTTGTGGTTGAAACAACGCCCTTTGAACTCCTGGTAGCATATCAACTGTATATAGCAATATTTGTCTCAGACCTGCTCGATAGGAAAGCGGTCAAATGCAGAATCCACATGTTCAATTATGTAAAAATGTGGACCGTAGACGATCCAGCTCTAGGCAAAAGGTGCGGCCTTTGGGAGACGCGAGGAGTCGACTTAACCGTAACACCTCACAAGCTATTTGAGAGGCTCAGAGCTTTATACCGTAACAATATGTAACCATAGATTCTTGACCCGTGATCAGCATGATGGCGATTATGCCAGGTAAAGTGCATTTAATTGTTTGGAGAGAATATGTCTCAATCATGATCCTACCTTGTTCAATCTCTTCCACTCAGTGCCAAAGTAGCTGCCATAGTAAAGTGGTTTCGTTGCCTTCTGGAACCATCCAATGGGCACCGATCTCACGGGCTGGTTCGAACTCAGGAACATCAAGGACAAGTACATGCAGAATCGCCTCGTGCGCCTTGTTTGCGTCTTCCTACAGTCCCTGATCCGGAACAAGATCATCAATGTGCAGGAGCGGCAAACGCATGTCGCAGCACCTGGGGTTCTGAGTTCGATGAACCAAAACGACATAAGCTGACTGAGCTAGGTGGGTTCTCTATGAGCTGGAACAAGTGGAGCCAGTGGAAATTGGGATCTCATGAGCAAATTAGCACCCAGATAATTTGTTGGCGGGGTTTAGTGGGTTCCCATGTTGAGACGTTCAGTAACCAAAGGAAGATAGGAAATGACTGTGGCTCAAAGCATCACATTGTGACCATCTACGGATGTCATGAACTGGTTCTTTGAACGCAGGACGTTGGGAAGTCACATAGAACGGTGCTTCAGTTGGATTGGGGACCTCTGGACGACGTTCCTTCACAAAGAACAAGAGGCGTCCTGTGTGTTTTTCCACCAAAGGATGTGAACGTGAGTGAAGAGTGTCAATCCCTGGGTAAAAGATTTTGAAGAACATTAGGACACATGTCCTGGATTGTATCTAAACAAATATACCATTCTCAACATTGTGCCCCTTTTGCATCCTTCCTTCATGAGCTCATCACCTTCACCTTCCTCTTCGCCTTTCTTCCACATCGGAAGGACCTCTTTATCGAAGTCCAAGCCTTCTGCATCGAGTGGCTCGGTACCGGTCGCCTCAGTGACGGTACTCTTTGGGAGAGCACAAGGGCGGGTTCATTGGGTCGATTGGGTGCCATGTTTGGTTCGGTCCAAATCTGAAACAAGAAGGAGATATGCATCATCACACATCATCACACGAGTCACTCACGACACTGGGACGCTCATGTGACGTGGACGTCACGGACGAGCTTCATCCCTTCAGGATGAGTCGGCAGAGAAGCGGACTGCAGACGGCCTGCCTTCAAGATCATCTCATGGCATAGGGTTGTAGTATGTAAAATACTACATAAAAGCTACATCTCATGGCCAATTGACCTCACTCACACCAACAGAAAAAAGAGGAGCTGGAGGATGCGGGAGGTATTTGTCAAGTCAGACACACGAGGTCGACGAAATTGTACCTCTTCATTTGTGGGAATTCCATCGATCATCATGTTTCCGGATCTTTACCAACAATTCACCCGTGGTGGAGCAGCATGACATGACATATCCCCGGCAATGGACCTGACCTGACGGTGACGACTGACGAAATCTCAGGTTCAGCCGGATCAGAGAAGCTGCCATCCTCTTTCGGTTGCTCAAAACCCTGGAGCAGCAACAGACACTTGGAGATTCACAAGCTACTAGGTGGAGGCCATCGCTACATATCGCTACCAGTAACAAGAAGCTTTTTGGGTCTTTGAAGCTTTCTAGTAATATGTTCTTTCCACTGTCACAGTTTACGGCCAACAAGAAACAACGGTTTCGAGCAGTTCAGGGAAGTGATGCGAGGTTCGACGGTCGGTTCATGAAGAGTGAAGCCTTGCACCACGGTTTTGCAACAAAGAGTATGTCCAGACACCTCATGTTGGGAAAGAACTCCCCCTTGCACCACATGGCTTTCTAGTGATGGTCCCAGGTGCCTTTGCAGACCAACAATCGAGTCGGTGCTTCTCAATCAACGACGTCCCGCGTTGTTGATACGACCGTTCCGGCGTCCGGCCGTGTTCGGTTCACCCGCCTTCATCCGACCGGAGCGGGTCAACTTGCATCCATGGAGGATGCCTCCAAAGGGGGTTCGGTTTGATGTGACCACTAAAAAAGACAACAAGCTTGGAAGGGTGTTCAATGCATGTCTTGGATTTATTGATCAGTTTGCATGAATACCTGAATCACATGATTTCATTGACCCATCTTGACCCCCCAAGTGCCTTTCGAAGCGTCAGAAGGTTTGTGGACGGCTTCACACCGTCCACCTGTTGGATTCATCAGCGACATCGGATGGCTCCGGTGAAATCGGTCTGTTGAACTGCGAAGATCGGTGGTTTCAGAAGGACACGGTATCCAATGGCGAAAGGACCTTGGTCAGTCAGCCAAATTGTGACCTCATCCTCATCTGGGAACTGGGAGATGTGAAGATCTGGTCTTGCGTGTTCAAATGCTACCAGATAACACCCATCCATTCGCATCAGAGTGCACCACTGGAAACACTCTTGACATCTTGACGGCAAGGTAACACATCATTGTAACTCCCGGACATTCCATGTCATGATATGTAATGCTTTACATATATAGATATTTGCAACGCTTGCTATACATTTTATAGAACATTTTGTGGCTATACACATTAAACCAGTATGCCACATTTGGCTAGTGGGGCTTACAGGAGTAGGGTGCATTGGTTGTGGGGCCAGCCCATGCATGTTGTATTTCAAGTGTCATAGTCATAGGCACGTCAGAGGCCTTTAAGGAGTCCGGCTCTGCAACCCTTCTTTTCGAGCGCGGCTTTTCGAGGAAATGACTTCCCTCCTGGCAACGACTTGTGCGGCGGGGAAGTGGCGGAGAGGTCCAATGCGACTGCTTCGGTGAGCGGCTGTGGATTCGCAGATGGCTCTATAGACCCAAAAAGAGCGGACCAGCGTCGGAGGGCTCGGGGGCGGTACACACCCGGAGAGGAACATAAAGGCTTAAAAAAAACAACAACAACATATGACATGAATACACCCTTGCGCTGGCCTATCTGAGACCGCGGGCGGATTCTGGTCTTTCTTGATCCCTGTTGACACGTTTTACTGAGCTACGCCATGCTCGGGTAACTCCTGGGCCACGGAACCTTTTTTGTTCTTTGTTGTTTTGCCTTAGAGAAAGGTCACATCAAAATTGTGTTTCTATGATTTTCTATGTGTTTCATGAGGAAGTTTCATATAATGCTGGGATGACGACGACGATGATGAATCTCAGTTGGCTTGCTTCACCGTTTGACCATCTGCAAATTGATGCTTTTTGCTCGATCTTTAGTGGTGATTTCTATAGTGGGTGAAGTAGGGGCGCCTCTGCGCCCGGCCAGGCAGTGCAAACGCTTCGGGGCGCTACGGCCGTGCCAGGTGCCGGGTCGTTCATCGAAGCAAAGGCTTTCTGAAAGGAATCCCCCCCGGCATGCCCCCAGGAATGTCGAGTATACGATGCTTTTGTGGTATGAACACCCGCTGCCGATTTACCTAGGCGGCCTATGTATATAGCATCTATGTTTAATTTCAAGGTTAAGTTGTTGTTTCAGTATATATATTTTCTAGTCACACTTAGCATGTTGCTTCGGGCCCCGATTCACTATCGGCCAAGCGTAGCTCACTGTGGAGCTTCTGTCGCGTCGCGTCTTCAAACGACGGACAGGCAGCGAGCGGCCACCGGAGGATGAGGTGCTAAAGGCATTGCTCAAGGTGCAAAAAGAGAAGGCAGAGCTGAACAAGGCAGGCTCAGCTGGACCCTTTGACGGGTGGTGCAGGGTTCAATGGCTTTCTGGCCGATATTTTGGGAGGGGCCGAACCTTTTGTTACCCTTGATGGCCCATTTTGCAGAGGGTCTTTGAAGGCATTCGGCTCAGTGTGGGCTGGCTGGCCTATACAAGTGCTTTGTGGGAAGAATCTATAAACATATGATATGAGACACGTTGTGTGTTGTTTGGGCCAGCGACCTCCGCACGTTCTTTGATCTTGATCTGCTCAGCGTTTCCTGGAAAAGCGACGCATCTCCACGTCCTTCGTCCACCGACCGTGGGTGGACTCCGTGAATGTGTCCAGGACGAATCGACATCCGAAAAGCTCAACCCCGGTCAACCCTGGACCGAACGGACAAATCGACGATGGAACCCACCAAACCAGTGGTGGACAGGGGATCATGGTGGTCATTGCGAGAGTACGCACAAACAACTAAGTGCATTCCCGTATGCTGTGAGTCACCGAGTCACCAGCTCACGGTGACGTCGATCACTCGGGACTGATCCCAGGCTGATCCCTATTATGGCAAGCTCACTGGTGCTGGTCGAGAAGGAGGGAAGCGCTGGCGCCTTGTGTTGCTTTGGCCGCGTTTGGAGTTGGGACAGGTGGTGGCTCTTTGTTGCTTTGGAAAACATGAGGCCGAATTCCAGTGGATTCCCAAGACAGAGCCACTATTTCTCATGTGCTTAACACGTCCACCAGATAACCCAAAAAACATTCCCATTCTTTTTAAACACATTTTGGCCCAGCCTCAGAAGGTGTACGGTTTACATTGATCCTGCAGGCTAGCATGATGGATGTCCTCAAAGTCGTAAATCAAACGCTTTACCAAAGAGCCTGTTGCACAAAACAGGGTGTTTTCGCCGGTGTTTTCGCCTCAGATGAGCCTGCTACCTTCCCAGAGTTTTGGTAGGTCAACATTTCGGAAGTCTTTTGTTTTCGTTTTTTCTGAAGAGGCATAGCAACACGGACGTACGACGACGTATGTCAACTATAATATACCCAGTAAAAAAAACATTGAGACAGTCGCCCCAAAAGAGTCTTCTTGCCCAAAAAGAGCGGGGTCTTTTTTGGTACTGGGGCTATGGCTATGGCTAGGCTGTGGCTATGTATCATCATTTGGGACCGGCTTTGTGGCGGCCTGGACTCCTCATCCAAGGTACCTGGCCACGCGCAACGCCGTGGTGGCGGAACGGACGCTTGCATGGGCTGCACGGGTTCCGAACTGTTTGGATGGGGTCGCGACAACACAGCCCAAGCAATGTCAGCACGCCCTGCTAGATATTAAAGGTACTATCATCTTAAAAAAATCAATGTCATGCTGCCTCACCTGTAAACTTTGTAGTTTCACACCCAAACACCACTGGCAACCCGAACGCGAGTGCGTTTTCTGGCCAAGGAAGAATGAGGCGCCGCCCTCCTTCTTTGACCGTGGCTGGTACGTGGATGGCTTGGTCACAGCGGTGCAGCGCTTTGAGGATAGCCGCTGAGACCAGACACCTTCGAAGCCATCAGATCGGGGGATCGGAGTGTACTGCAGTCTGTGACGAAAGGTTCAAACCATGCTGGCGAGTCGAGATGCAAAACATTTGTCAATGTTCTCTACTGTTGTTGGCGAGGTGGCGATGCTAGGAGGCCAGAGCTTTTTCTTGGATCTTTACACGTTCATGATGTTTGCCAAACAGACACAACAATGAGCCTTGAAACATCTTGACACATTATGACTTATTGATACCACAATGACGTTCTTATCTATCTTTTTCAGTATGTTGCAGGTCAAAGATGATTTTGTCAGACATGTGTGACATGCCTGATGGTGCAACTCCGACATGATTGGATGCCCTAAGCACGCCAACGGCTGCTTGTGGGTTCCGAATTCCCATGGGGCACCTATATGGGGACAACCATGCATAAAACCACATCCCATCATCCCACGCGCGTGATTTGGGATGCTCCATCTTCTCACTCTTCGGCTGTGGGGGGTATCGGGGGCCCTCGTCAAGAGACTCGCCTTGGTCGTCTAGACTCGCTCCGAAAGCTTCATCGGTGGGAAAAACCCTGAAAAAAACCAGGGTCTCCCAGTGCCATGGCGACTGATACGTCGATGCCGTGGCACCACTCCCTCCGACCCGATACGTTTCCGCGCAGCACGAATCAGGTTCCGCGGCACGGATGAATCAGAACGGCGTCTTTGAACCGTGGCACGCACGGTATGACATTTGGTAATGGTTCCTTCTGTGCGGGGACAGATGGATCGATCTCGAGGCTGTGGACATTGGTGGACTGCAGAGTAGATTCGGGAGCTCAAGGCATAGTGCTCGAATGAGTTCAGTAGTGTAATGAAGCTATGGACCATGCAGCTCCCATTTGCGGTCTAAACAACGGAGGGTCGGACTGCATCCCTACAAATTGGGCACTAAAGTCGTAGCTAATGAATGTATAGCACCGTAGTCTATCTATATAGCTGAACAATATGTTGATTTCTTACACATACTACCTTTGTTGGTATGTTAAATCACGCATCTTCCGTCGTGCAGCTCCCCAAACAAGATTGTCAAATCATGAATCTGTTTTTCGTGTCTCACCATGGTCTCATGTTCCATGAGGCTCGGGTGTTCTTTTGTTTGCAGGATGCCCCTTGGGGCTGCCGGGCTGATTGTCCTGGATCTCAGGAACTGCTGGGCCTCGGAGGCTTCTTCTTTGGGTACTTTGCGCGGTTCAAGTGGCCGTCGCCGGAGAAGCGGACCACCTTGGCGTTTCAACCCAAGACGAACAACTTGCAACTCTTTGGGAAGGACGGAGTGCCACAAAAAGGCCTCCCAAGAGGCTGAGTTCGTTTTTTTGCGGCTGAGACTGGACCGGCGAGCCTGGATAAATGATGGGGGATTTTTTGTCCAAATTGTTGGGGAGAAGGAAGTGGGACCTATGCTGATCCTGCGAACTTATGAGGCTCAAAACTCATCAAAACTCAAAACACTACAAATTAGCTGCTTTCGGTCAGACAAACAGCTGGTGAGCACTGCCAAATCCTTGCACAGCCGGTGAGCTATACAGTACTTCGACAAATTATGACAAATTAGAGCCAGGCCAAACCGGGTGCATCAATCAAGTGAGCAGTTGGGAAGTCATGCCAACATCCTAGGGATCCAGATACTGAGGTGAATGGTGAGAGAGGATTGGACGATCGTTTGGGTGAAGAAAGTGACCTGGGACCAATGATGCCCAATGACTTGGAAAAAACCTTTGAAGGAAACCACATGAAACAACTCTACCAAGCTTCGGCCCCCCAAACACCGTGAATATCCGTGAATCATCGCCTTTTGTCCCTGTGCTCAGTTATTTTTGTATTCTCCATATTCATCCCGTCACATTTTCCAGCGACGATTGGGAACGTCGCGGCAGGACTGGTCCTGGCCCTTTCCGGGCGCTGGAGAAGGTGCTGAAGGTGACCGAACCTTCGAAGCCTCGCGAGTCTTGGCGAGGATGGGATGGGACTTGCCATTAAACAAAAAACAGCAACAACAACAAGTGTCCCAGTGTTTTTGTTCAGGCAGACTCCAAAGGCACACACCCGAGAAGGATGAGATCCCACTATCCAGGTTTGAGGGGTTGGAGTTCCAAAGTTCTACGGATGGAATATGTTGGCATTCCCCTTCTTGGATATGGTACGAGCATGGCTAAATAGAATACAAACGCCTGATCGATCGAAAGTCGATGAAATCCCGACTTTTGTGAAGTGTTCGCCTTTGGCATGAATGGACTGATCAGTCGAGCTCAATCACCAGTGAGCGGAATCCTTTGGCAGGATTCCACAGGTTCGGAAGGACCAATCAACCCTGCCCCCAAACAGAACACCATTCACGGTGAGTCTTGCAGAGGATCCCACAGATTGTGCCGGGTGGAAAACACTGGGATCTGCAGGGCTGTTTTGGGAGAGGACGTCATCGGTTTTCTCATTCTTTCTGGACAAATTCTGCGACTGTTCTTCGGAGTTCTGGATGGAAAGAGTGAGGTCTTCAGAAGCTGAACATCTTCAATTTTTTCTACGTCGATGACCAGGTGGCCGTGGCACAAGGCGAGCGCCCGCGCGCGTGAACTTAACAGCGCCTGCTGTTGTGTTTGCTGTTAGAGCAGCGGTTGGTGTTGGGGCGGAAGCACTATGGGGAAGTTGTCTGCATTGGCGTTGATGAGTCATTTGTTTGCAGCAGAGTTATTCTGTTGCTACTCAGCTTTGCCGCTGTCTCCAGTTGACAGTCAATCAAGGTCGGCTGTGATTTGCACCACTGGGAACATTATTTGTTTATTAGCATATGCAAAGCTATATCAAAGCTTGACTCCATATAGGATAGGAATGGATAGGATACATGTTTAATCATTTTTCTACGCGTTTCTTTGACATTCATCGATTGCATGGTCCTTTCAACAACAAACATGTGGAAGAAAAATCCGGCTCCGCAGGCTCCGCATTCCTCGCCCGAATCTGGGGCCACAGATCTCCCGAGTTCCTGGACTTCTCGTTCCTAGTAGCTTCTTGCTCCTAGTAGCGATGCCAGGAGCCCTAGTAGCGATGCCCTTGCTTCTAGTAGCTTCTTGTTCCTAGTAGCTTCTCCTTACTAGTACTAAGGCCAGGAGCCCCTAGTAGCGTCCTTGCTCCTAGTAGCGATGCCCTTTGCTCCTACTAGCTTCTTGTTCCTAGTAGTAAGGCCCTTGTTCCCAGTAGCTGCTCCTTACTAGATCTTACTAGTACACCCATGTCCACCACTGCCTCTTCGCCTCCCACCTTCGGCGCACCGGGCGGACTGGGCACGGTCTGTGTCGAAGGTGCTTCGGGGAGCGTGGCGCTGTGGGCGGCCACCGAGCCGAAGTGGGAGGAGGAGCACCTCATCCACGTCGACCCCTGAGGCCGTTTTTTCACCGCCCCGAAAGAGAGATGGAGGTGTTCCTGAGTTGCAGCACCTGATTTTCCAGCTGATCCCAGTGTGGGAGGCCTCTGAAATGTGAGGCAGACCAGTTGAGAGCAGAGCGCAGCTGATCGATTGATAAAGAGCCTTTCTTTGTTCTCTGAAAGCAGGATGTAAAGTTACCAAGTGATCCTTTTTGTACCAGCAAAACTCGTCAGAGTCGAAGAATTTCGAGTTGGTGCATGTTCTATCTACGTGAGGGTGACTATACACGACGAGTGCTTGGTAAATGAACGTTGAGCAATTCCCTATCAGACGGGTATAGGGCTTTTCGGGGTGCATGCTTTACCATGCTGTACCTTTCCTCCAGATGTTCACGCAGATTAACGTACGCTGCCCGGGGGACTTGTCGAACACCCTCACAACTATAGGACCTAGCTCCATCTAGTTCTATATAGAGCTTTTAGCCCCAACGTCACACTTGCTCCCCAAGCTTCCTTCACTTCACGTTGCATCTGTATTCTAGTCCCCGAAGTCGTCGAGAATTCGACCAAAGTGGCCTGCGTTGCTTTGGTCGATGGGTTGCCGGTGAGTGGAAACGTGTGGAAACTGAAATGGATCACAGAGCGAGGAGTCGTCAAAGAGACTCCATTGACCTTCTCCAGGTTGCTAGGCACATTCTGGCTGCATACAACTTCATGTACCAGGGTCCCCTAAGGGGTGGTAAATGGATCCTCGATGTTAATGGATACCTCGTTTCCGGGCTACGTTTAGACACCCCTCCAAGGGGCCGTGATGAGACGCTCTTCAGGGAGGCCCTGGTGGGGATCCACCTGGCATTAGTATTAGGAATCAGGAACAAGAGGCTACTACTAGTAACAAGGTGCCTTACTTAGTATAGTAACAAGGAGCCACTAACAACTACTAGTAGCTCCTAGCATGAACCGTCGCGGATTCGACAGATGTGACCGCCGCCCCCGACCGGAAGACGGGGCCCAAAGAAGGCCCCCCCCGCGAGTCCAAAGATCTTCCACCATGAGTGCCACAAGGCACGGCGATTCTCGAGACGATTCGGAGGTGGTGTGGTTTAAACAACGCTTTGGGATCGTTGTGGAGGATTCCTATAGTGAAGCTATTATAAGATCTATATAAAACAACTTGCTAGACACACATGCTCCCTTCCTGTGGATCTTTCTACATGCCATGAATTCTTAAATCCCTTGCGTTGGTTTCTAGGATGCCGAAACTGCTGCAAGGGTAGACATGTCAAGTACATTGAGAACCTCCTTGAGTAAGGCCGGCCTTGGATTCGTCCGAAACTCGCTGAACCTTCTAAACACTAGCGCCTCCGATCAAAGTTGACGAATCTGTATGGAACACTCATACATCCTCTTAGACTTTTGTAGATTTTTTGTGAATAGTTACTGTATCTAATTCCCCAGGTGTTTTGATAATGTTTGATACATCCTCTCATAAATTTGTTTGTGAAGGCAGGTGAATATATATTAATATTAATCAATTCCTAGATAGACATACCTATAGACCATCCTTTTACCTTGGAAACTTAGGCTTTAATGTCCCATTGGTACTTGAAGTCGGATCCGGGTCTATGAAGTCATCCTCCAGGCTTCCACGACCGCAGCGCTGGCTGGCGCGTTGGGCTCCACAACTGGCGCTGCTGGTGGGCCTCCTGGGCCTTTCTCGACGCAGCTTGGTGCCAGGTCTTGGGCCCAGGCAGGTCGAGACTCGCTCGTCCCAGACCGTTTTTCCACGCCCCTGACCGGAATTGCTGCAAAGGGCAGACGGAGTCTGAATGGTTCTGATATATGTGCGTTATTATTTGTTTCTTTCTGAGCGGTTCAGAAAAGGGCCATCGCAACGTGGCCAACAACGTGAAAAATGAGCAAGGGCGCCTAGGGGCTCCTGGCCTTACTACTAGGCGGAACGCACGCCCACGGCTAGCAAACTCCACAAGAAAACACAGACACGTGGCTCAGCTCACTTGGCTCCCCGCGCTCACCCGTGCCACGTCGCATCCATATCCGATCCATCCGACCCCAACACGACCAAGCCATGCAGACACGCCCAGCGGGCCGCTGCGCGCGAAGCCAGCCCGGATGAGGTGGGGTGATGACTGAAACAGCACAAGAACCTGCAATGTTGTTTCTCTGATTTTGCGATAGCCAGCATTTTGACAGAGGTTTTCAGACTGCACTGAGTGATACTGAGTGGATTTTGGGCATCCCCTGCCCCAAAAAGGAACCAACCCCTTTGGATCGAATGGAGTGTGTGTTTTCTATCAGCCTCGGCACTTTTGTTGTGTCTCGCAATTGTGCTGTACAAACACCCCTCCAAGATCTTGTCAGGATGAGGCAAAAAGATGGACACAAACTCTCTCACGACCTCCATCAAGGGAGTCAGTTGAGATCCAAACGATAGCTATCAAACGAGATCCCTCAGATCATCTCAGATCCCTCTCGGTGTCGATGGGAGAACACCCCCTCTCGGTGTCGATGTCTTTGTTTTGTTGTGGGATGTCCTGTTTCAGTCAGTTTCCAGTGGTGTTGAACTTGGAGGGTTGATGGTCTGAATGACGCCATCAGTTTTGTGGTACCAAGGACGGCGATTCCAGAACAAACATCTTGGAACATCGTGGAACTCGAGAAAAACCACGCGGCTTTTGGAGACCAATGGCTTGTGGTTCCAACAGTTCAACATATAATCATACATCGTATACATTCTCTTGGACCTACGTAAGTCATCTATAAGTTCATCTTCCAGCATTCCACTTCACCCACTTCAAGCGACCCCTCCGTCGACAGACCTGAACCGACCTGCACCTGAGCGACGTTCAAGTCGGATCGCCAGGGCATGGATGCCTTCGATGCGTTGGATCTCAACAAGGATGGCGTGATCTCCAGGGAAGAGTT